TTTTTTTTTGTTTGATTGAGGTTGTAGTTTTTTAAAAAGCTCTTGAAAAGGAATCTTGGCGAAGCAATCCAGTCATTTAAGACTTACTAGTAATGTAGTATATCCAAAACCACAAAACCAATTGGTTAAAAATGGTTGTGCTGTTGTATGTGATCGTTGAAAACGTTTTTTTCTTTGAAGTTTTATGGGATCAGTTCTAATTTGAAAAAGACCCATTTCAGTGATCCTCACTGTCAAGCTGTACCTCGTTTCATTGACGAACCTAACTACTCACTCAGGCGGGGATGTGGCAGACCCCCCTTTCGGCCGCGATTGCTGCATCTCAGGGTCAAGCTAACAACAGCTTACTGCAACAGGTCAGTTCTAGTTTTCAGTTTGTTTTACTCTCTGATGTCTTTCATTTTTATCGTTGCTCTTTTGGGTATTTCATAAGGGCTTCTACATGGAGAAAGGTTATTAGTTCTATAGTTGGGGTAGTGGCTTACACGATTGTGATCTCAGTTTTGGCTCGAATTTGGTTCAAATCAAGAGCAACAGTAACATTCTTTTGGGCTTTATTGCTTGTGATCAAAGGTGCTCACAAACATTCAAAGACAGCATAACTCTTAAATAGACTCCTTTGAGTGTTTCGGTAGTACGACTTCGGCCTGAAACCTATTACGTGTCTTGCCCTATCCATCAAACCTCGAATTTGAAAGAGTTGGATGTTATGTGATGAAGTGGCTGTAAAGCTGTGTCCTGGGTCTCACTAGATATCTTTCTCTTCTTCCTGCCTGCAGTAAGAGGAAAACGCTTTGCAAGTGTTTTCCGCTTATTAATTGCCACACTTTTTTAAGGTCCATGACATTGAGCCTTGTAGTGTCCATGGCTTCGACTATTTGGAGTGAGAAAGTTGGATTTGTTCCCTTTCCGGAGTACCATGAAGTCCTGTTCCTCCCTCTTTATTTCATTATTGCTTTAATGCCGNCGGCATTAAAGCAATAATGAAATAAAGAGGAGGAACAGGACTTCATGGTACTCCGGAAAGGGAATAGGAGGATACAAATTTGGTTAATTCGAGCAGGCATCCGTGCAGCTACCGACACCAGCTCGAATCAACTATATTTTGATCCATTCGGGGGCGTTGGCTTTTACCGAACTCTTCTATGAGGATAAAGACACTGTGCTGTATAACAGCTAACCCTCACCAATCATTGTAAATGCCACTTATTACTCAAACTTCAATACGGATCAGAATGGAAGCCGTGTGCGTTAGTCTATCCCACCAGTGGGACTGGGTAACGTCGTAAGACTTTACACCTTATCTCTTGAGTTTTGAATTCAGTTATTTTGAGAATTAAATGTTGACTATTCCGGTAGAGAAGAAGACGTCATACTGCAGAGCTGAGAAGGAAAAGACCATCATGAAAAATTGTAATTTTTGTCATGTTGCACTTATGGTCACAGGAAACGAAGGATGTTGTTCATTGGTAATGAAACCGTCTAGACTGTGTCCGTTTCATCTAGCTTCTATTCGAAGTCGTAAACTCATTCGAAAGCATGCTTGATCTAAACGGCAATTATCAAAGGTCATCGACCTTTGATGATCACACAACTGACGCCGAAAGTTGTTTGGAGATGTGGATTATATAGCTTCAGAATATCTATGCATAATCAAGAATCAGAGCTATTGCTAGAAGACAGTAGTCTCGAGCGTGTTCTCTTAATCTAAAACAGTGAAGTGGAACTAGTTGCATTAGTATGTGTTCTATGGTTTTCGTCCTAGTTTACTCGTCTGTCTATTGCTTTTATCTTTTGTTTCGTATAGCCTATTATGTTGATTTTAGAAGGTTGTTTTCTACTGCGTTTGCCTTAACAGCGTAATAAACATAAACTCTAAACTCAATCGTGAAGGACTAGTGTCGGGGCGTTAGTCAATCCCTGCTGAGGGATGCGCCCCGCATTCGAATTCCGTCCAGAATCGTAGTGGCGCATTGAATGTGTAGGTGGTCTATGCAGTGCTTTCGGGGCCAGCCGATGTACCGATGTACAAGTAAGTACTTTTATCCTCAAGACTAGTCTGGTACCAATAAGGCGATCATGGAGATGGAAGGCTTGGTTGGCTTAGGCAGATATCGATCCGGGATTCGAACCCGTTACCATGCGTGCGAGATGTTGCGCCGCTTGCCACTACTCCACCTCCATCCATTTTAACCGTACATAGATTTTTCGAGCAAGTAACAGCTTATGTTTACGCCCCAACACACACAGAAACCTTGGAAGGAAAAATACGTGGAAGATTCCTCACTGATGCTCCCTATGAACTTAATGTGATCGTTTCAGATTTCAATGTTACAAAACCTTCAAAGCCAACAGCAGCCTACTTTCAACTATTTGCAAGCGGCAGTAGCTTCAACACATGCCACTAACCATGCGATCGTGAAGCTAGAGGCATCCGATCGTCGTTTCTCATCAGGATTCACGCCGGTGACATCCAACCACGGGTCTTCTTCACAAGCTCACACGTCTTTATCCTACAGTCTAACGAGTAAACCAACTCCTATAGTGGTAAGTTTCATTACTTCTCCTTCTTGCTTCTATTGGTGAAAAAGTCCATAGTTTTGTGATTTTCAATTCCTTTTTGTTTTTTATTACATCGCCCTTTTCGAATTTTACTCGTTACTTTGTTTTATAAATCGCAAACCACGCATCTAATTTATGGGTGTTTGCGTCCCTCTCGAAGTTTATAGAACAAATACCCCCAATAACGCAAAGAAAAGGCTCCTAGGATCCATCACCTGTTGTTAATATCATTGAGTGTATTTTGGTAAATTTTACAAAGGAGTTTTTGTGCAGCTCTAAATCAGGAAAACTTGGTGTGTCGAACTTGTCTCGGAGCACGTTCACTATCAGTCTCAAACAGCGTATTTATTTTGTTGCAACCCATAAGTACGCAATGCTTGTGCGATGCTTAGACGTGCAAAAAGCATTTTGGCGGATTGTATGCGGCGTTGTATATGTAGCCCTTCAATTGAGGAAATCGTATGTCGAATTAGTAGAAAGTTGGGGGAAATGAGAGTGTAATGAGAGAGATGGAAGATGAGAGGTTAAAAACAAAAAAGTAACTGGAAGAAATGGGGCAAGTGAGTCAAGAGTATCCTCCAAATTACGAATTTTACTCTTTGTTTCTATATCAGGACTCGATACACCCTCTAGGTTTCAACAGTCTTGTGGAAAGTAAGCTCAAACAAGAGAACCAAAACAGCGACGGAGCCTTTTAGAGGCCTTTTGAATTGAATTATTGCCGTAGTATTGCGATCATGTTTATTTTTATTTTCATCAATTCATTTTTGCACAGGATGTAAGCGGAAAATTGGTAAGGTCAATCATAACCCTACGTAAGTTATAGAACAAAAGTATCCAAACAGGCATCTTCAAATTTGTTTGAGCTGACGCTTTTCGGAAGGGTACAGCAACTATGTTACTATGTTACTGTGAACTTCGAAGCATTTTTGTGCTATTTAATGCCTTTTGCTTATTTTATCTCTACAGAAACAAGGGAACTTGTAACTTGATCCTTTCCCTTTGCTATTTTGATAGATCTCGCGAAATTATGTCCTTGGGTTGTACATCACTGTAGGCCTGACTCGTACGTCTCCAAGAGGGCTTCAAGAAATATTAGTAATCGTTATTTTTCAATCGTTGCATCATCTTTTTGTTTTCGATGGTACCACATGACACCTGGTTTAAAAGATTTGAGGCATCAAGGTAACAGTTCTACTACTATTCTGCTTCCTCGACTTTATGCCGATTCTCGTTTTGTTGACATCATTCGATCGAATTCCTGTAACGGTAGAAATCCATGTCCGGTTCATTTTCACTTAGGGTATGAGAACGCGAAGGCCGCCATTAACAGTTGAAGGGAGACTGGAAAAGCATTAGCTAGTGGTATTTTACCTTTGGATGCATATGTGTAAATGATTGGCAGTGGACTTCTAAGCATTGTTTCCCCTAAAAAGACAATTACGAACCAGCGCAATTCTGATATTAACAAAGTTCCCCATTTTTTGTCGTATTATTTCAAATACAACGATTGTTTCCGAGTCATCTTGGAATATGAATTACTTTATGCACTGTACCAAACATCAATCGTTGCTCCGCAGCGTAACAGCACCAATCACGTAAGCTCAATTAGACATATGTGGCCCCATTATAATCGTACATCCCCTAGTTTATATAAATTTGACCGATCGTGTGAAATGAGCCGCAGCGCTGTCCTTGGGGAAAGAATATATGAATATGAATGGTTTTCAGCTTTTCTCAGAGTCCCGTACATATCTCCTGAAATCGCTCTTCTCGAGAAGTTTTACATGTGTCAAAAGTTTTCGTGAGTCGTGTTATCTACTTTTTACAGATTCCTTCACCAATAGTGCCTTACACTGATACTGCATCGACGTCGTCTCCCGTCTCTAAGCGACCTTGTTTCTCACCCCGGGAAGCGTCTACATCTAGAGAAATTGAAACGAAACGAAGTCCACCCAATAATGAGGCCAGTTCGTCGAGGTTGAACCAGCCTTCCACATCAGGTAGGTCTGCAACATTTGTTTTAATCTTTTCTTTTTGGGTTCGTCTTCAGAATCGTTGTGCGAAAAACATTTGGCAAAATTCTTGGATCCTGCGGGTTGTGCCCAAATGTCTTCACTTGCTCATTGTTTGAAATCATTTCCCTATAAATCACCAGTTTCCATGCCTAAACATGGATTTTTTGATTTTTCGCCATTTCTATCTTCTTCAAAAACTTTGTAGGAAATATATCGCGTTCTCATCACCAGCGAAAAGCGAAGACATCGGTTACATTTGGTTCTTCAGCAGATACGGAATCATTTTCACTAATGTAGACGTTCCAGTTGATAGATATCCTTGTAGACCATCATGTTCGCACGCATTACGTTCCGCCTACTCTACTGTGGAGGGCTCAGCATACGGGGCGACATCTGCGATCTTCGTCGTTACAGATACGTCGGCGTTCTGAATTCCTTTCTCTGAATGAGTTCACGACTTTTTGTTAGTGGGGTGCATCACACTGGTAGCATGCTTTCTTCTGACCTAGAGTTCACGTCTCGAAGACGAAGCTCACGGGGGAATGTCTTGGAGTCAAGGAAAAGGAAACGGAGCAAAACTTTCTCTATCCTTTTTCTTACATAATCAGAAAACGTTTCACTTTGCAATCACGTTGCTTCCCTTGTTTTTAATTGCAGACTTCCTCGTTTTGCCCAACCGTCTTCTCCTTCCTCTCAGTCAGTTAATTTCGGTTACGCTTTGACAAGAGGTTGTAGGTGTGATTTTCCTCCATTCTTATCGCCTATAAGACATATAGAAGGGTAAAAGCAGATGCGAAACATTGAGAACCTTGAAAATATATCGCTATGACATTATTTCGTAATGAAGTTGCAGTGCATCAAGTGGGCAGTCTCAGCGACTAAACATTCGGTCGCAACTTATGAAAGAGCTAGTGACGTTATGCATTCTAATGCAGCAGGCAATCTTCATCTAGCCTCATCCTTTTCACTAAAAAAAGTAGAAACGGTCAGAGGTCGGGAATCGCGTTTCACCCATGAGAAATTTATGGTTGAAGCAGTCTTATGCGAAATCATTCTTCAAGAACAGGATGGTGTGAAGGGGTGCAGAAGAGATCAAGTCATACTTAGGATAACAGTTAGCAGTGTGATCTTCGATAAAAATGATGTCATTTTTTAATCGGCATTTAATTGGAAGGAGAGGCTCGTGACCTGATTTTTTCGAGTTTCTCATATTATAAATATTTATTGCCAATTACCATTACCGAGTATTCATTTTATTACCAAACTCTGCTGCTTCTGCCATTTTTGCAGTTTTTCTATACTCAAAAATTTTCAAGGTTATATAATCATCCTGTGTTTTCTGAATGATTGGTTTGTTCTGGTGGATTTTATTCTTTTCGGGCTCTAACATAGCATCTAACATAACACATCATGGATACCGTGCGTAGTGTCTGGTACATATCCGAATGTGTCATTCTGCCTGTGAACTAGCCCTTCCCCTTATAACCTCGAAAACTTGCTTATAGTGTGATGACAGCAGAGATGAGCACATTGAAAGTGTACTCAGTTGCTGTGCTATCTCCTAGAAATAGTCCTAACGCTTTGCTTCGGTCTTAAGAATTATTTGCGAAGATGTGAGGGTGAATCACACGAAATTCTAAGGCAATATTTCACAGTGATCACATTGCTTGGTATGGTTATTGTATGGTGTAAGCGCACATGACGATGGGAAAGTCACACTGCGCGCATGCTATCATACAGCACCGTGAGCCAACACATTGTGTATGATGTGAATTTTTTTTGTATTATGTAGTGGGCATAACATATCGTTCAAAACCTTCGAATGAATGTCGGTCATATGCTCTACCGTTTTCCATTAGAAGCTGTTTTTGTCATAAGGGTTTGCAAGCTTATCATCTTTTCATGACCTTTAATCTCTCTATGTTTTGAGTTTGGAAGCACCAGAGGGAATGATGCCAGCATTTTCTCTCCACCATTCTTCTTCACCGGTGTTACCCCGTTCTTGTTGGGCAGATCCATTTGAACTCTCAATCATTCAATTGTATAACTACCATTATTATCTATGGCATTCATATAATGAGAGGGCAACTCGGCTACTTTCTTTTCCCAGAAATAAGAGGTCAGAGAAGTTAGCATCAGCCTTTTTGAGATTCTCAATTGTGGCAAATTTCTTCAGGAACCTCTCAAGGTGCCCTTAAAGGTGATTGTCAGAAGGGACTATGCCAGTGCAAAAGAAATGGTAGGAAACGGTATTCCAGGCAGATTACAGTAACCTGGGTTCTCTCTTCTGTGCGAGGCCGAGCGTTGTTGTGCAGAAGAACGACAGAGCTTTTCTCTGTCTTTTTTCTCCTGTTGCATGAACGCGTTCCTGGAGCTGATACTGTCGAAAGTTTTCTGGCCTCCAAGCGAGCGACCCATGCAACACTTCTTCCGATTCTTAAGCTGTTCCGAGCTACACAGCAAAACCTTGTCAAGTTGCTGTTCTGACTCAAACTGCACGAGCGGTTTTCTCATTTTAGAGGGGCCTTATCGTTGTGGACCTAGAGGATTCAGCTGTTCTCTGCCATCACCGTATACTGCAGAAACTCTTTCCGATTGGGGATGAGGATGAGCAAGTGACTGATTGAGACACGCTTGTGACGGATATCGTCGGTCAGTAGTTGCGGAATCATTGGGCCTGAAATCTTCTGTAACCTTGTTCGTGGAGGTCCTCATTCGTTGCTCTTATCCTGTTTTAAAAGTTTTGCCAATCCCAAATCCGGCTTCTTTTTACTCCGCTGAAAAATCCATCATAATCATAGCAAGTGGTCGTCCGGACGAGAATCGTCATCAAGCGTGGTATCCTCGCATAGGTCCTCTGTTTGTGTTGGAGCCAGCGGATCGAGTATTGGTCCGTGTCTACATGCGTAGAAGGCGATTGCTCAAACCTGATCTCTCGATGATCGCGACACAACTCACAAAAGTTTCGCACAGAGACCTATTTGGGTTCCAGTGTTGGTAGCTCTGATATGTGCTAGAGTGTGATGATGGTTCGCGAGCGACAGAGGTTCTCATAAAGAAACGGCTATAACGTGAATTTGTACCTCGAGCCTTTCGCATCAACCCTACACCATTCAAATCTTCAAAATTAGGTCAATTCCTAAATTTTGGTTCGAAAAATTGTTCACATTTGGATTATTGAGTCGTGCTTTCACTTTTAGTTACTATTATTGTTTACGGTTGAAGGGAATTAATGTTCTGTTCAATTTCGGTAGAAAGGGAGTGAATTCAATTCCTCATTGAGCTATGTCTGGTAAGTGGAAAATTTGGCTTTCAAATAAAACATCCCCAAGAACAAAGGCCTAGGATTTTGTTAGTGTGGAAAGTTATCCCCAATAGAGGCAATGGTATATAATATAAAAAAGAAAAAGGTGTACGTTCAGTAATACGCACTTACTTGTAGCAAGTGGAGTGCTCAAGGGGGAGGGGTTTGGGAGTGGGGACCAGTCTCCTATTATAATACTTTCATTTATTCACTACATATTCTATTCAATAAACAAAAGTTAGGTTAGAGGTTCGTATGGCGCAACCTTTCGCTCTCCCACACCACATAGCATTTTCCCGAAATGCTTCATTTTTGGCGACTTTGGTCTCCTAGAAAGGTTCGACGGGAAACTTGCTTGCGACGTAGCTTTATTACATTCCTTGGGTTTGAAAGCTTTTGACGTCTGCACAAAAAGCTACTACTCCTTGAAAAGGCTTTATACGTTCCTGTTCTTTCTTGAAATGTTCCGTATAACAGATCAAAGTAATCTAGAGAGCCTGTGCTCAGCAACTCCAGTAATTCCATATGTTTTAGCGTTGGCGTTCGTACTGCGCGTGCGAAGTTTTTTCGACCTAAGCGAATACGTTATTCATGTCCAGAGCATTAAATTACTAGATCGCAAGTTCTTTCAGGCATAAAATTCGGGGATTCCTGGTCTCACTCTACCATCAGAGTCGGAAAGTGGCGTAGTGAATGCTGGTTTGCTTTCAACGAAATAACGACCCTTTTGAAAAAGTCCTGTTGTTTTATGAACGGAAACAATTCCATCACTTCTCACGGTCCCTTTTCTAAAACACAGAGTTTGTCGTGGTAGAGACTACGAAGGGGTCTGATGAGACACCTTACAGAAGCGTAACATACCTGTGCTTGTAAGGGATGTATTATATTTAGAACACACTGGCATGTAGTGGAATGCTTGCAATTTGCTGGCTGTTCCAAAGGATCTAGAACATAAAAAACCTTTTCAATAAGGGGAGAGGCGGAGGGATTTGGCGAAAAGTAGACCAGCCGATCCATTTTTGATAATTGTTTTTTTTTNNTTTTTTTTTCATCAGAAAAAGTGGCCGAAAATGTCTAATATTTATCTTCTCTGAACGGCTCACTGTTAGGTTGTACACCAGGTACAACTTTCCTCCGAACCTGATTTTATGTCATAGGTTGATGGTTGTCCTTTGAGTGTGGTGGTTAAGGTTTTCATTGTTGGCAGGTTTGGAAAATCGATGGGATTTTGTAGAAAGGGTGAACATTAAATTATTAAATTACTGTCAATACTTGGTTTTTTTTGAAGAAAAAACTTCATTATGTAGTTTCGAGTGTCCCAAAATTATGGTCGCCAATTCATGGCAATGTATTTGAAGATTCTCAGCTGTGAATGACAATGGGATCTATATGCACGTTTGCTAACACTATGTGCTACAACATGTTAAATTCGCATTTCAAAATATTCCCCAGAGTGCGGATAGAGGCCCAAAGTTTGTTCTCGGACCCCTCGCATGTTGAATGCATGTATCTCCCTCCAATTCTTCCCGGCCATTCTTTAGTCTTGCTTTCTAGGCCTCCAAACTGGTACTGCAAACTCCACAGGTCATTTTCTAAGCAGGGAGCACACGAGCGAATCAATATAAATAAGATCTGTTTAGCAGGATGGTCATTCCTCTTTGCTCGTGAAATCGGGCCGCTTGCATCGGCACCCCTCTTGGCTGAGCTTGCATCTGTAGGCTGGAGTTCAGTCCTCCTGGCTGGAAGGAGTACGAGCTGTCTCATTACGTGGAGTAGGACCAGTGCTTCATTACGTCCATTGATATGCCCTTT